GAAGACAAAATATTTTGAACTGAGAAGTAGCAAGCATTTCCAGAATTTAATCTCCTCCTAACTTCCTCACGAGTATAATTTTGATTTGTTTTTGTTGTTCCCAAATATTTGAACTTTGTAACCCTTTCAAAGGATTTATTAGCTACCCTAAGATAATTTTGCCCGCCTGTCTTCTGATGACGAGATACTAACATGTACTTAGTTTTTTCTGAATTTACTTCCAGCCCCACTTGTCTACCAGCCTCTAGTAAAACTTCTGCGTTCCTCTTTATTGTATTTATATCGTCCCCCAATAAATTAACATCATCAGCATATGCCAATAGCTGATGTGTCCCATTCAATTGCAAACCCTCCTGCCTATCTTGGACTTTCCTGATAGCATATTCTAGTGCAAAGTTAAAGAGCAATGGAGACGAAGCATCTCATTTCAGACCATTCTTGATGGAAAATGACTCGTAAATATTTACCTATACAGTAGGGCCCCGCTTTTCGGCGATCCACTAATAGGGCGCTTTTCAATTGCGTGCACATGCCCCACGCGCTCAACAGCCGAGTCAGAGAAGTGCGTCTGGCACCATTTTCTTGTCGCTGATTCAGTCTGTTTACAGCTACTACTGATATTCATTTTACTTTCATATCGTTTTCTTAGGCCTACCGCTATTGTGCACTTACTATGTGATAGTGTAAGCATCTTATTAGGCTTTGATATGCATTCGCAAGTGAAAAAGGCAAAGTTCCGCTTTTCAGCGGGGGTCTGGTCCCTAACCTGCCGTATATGCGGTGCCGTACTGTACGAATTTTGCTGCAGGTTTCATTTAAGCATGTTTTTATTAGACTCACTAGCTTTGGTATACCAAATTCAATAAGAATATTATATAGCACTTTTCTCTTCACAGTCGCCGTAGGCTTTTTTTAAATCTATAAATAATTGATGTACTGTACTCCCATTTTTTTCTCTAGTATCTGATGAATGCAAAAGATCTGATCAGTTGTTGATCTGTTACATCTGAACCCACACTGATGATCCCTGATAATTTCATTCACATATGGAGGTAATCTCGCCAAAAGAATATTTGATAGAATTTTGTATGAGGTTGACTCTCAGCTTCCAAAGAAGTACATGGCTCCATGGAATTTGTTTGTCAGCCTGTAACAATAATAATTTCAATCACCATACCTTTGCTGCTGTTCTTCAGTTTTCTGCTTATACATTCCTTGTGTGTACCATAACTGCATCTCCATCTGTGTTGCACAGAGTAGCACTGTCACTTACCTGATAGGCCTCTTGTATTTAAAAATTAATGAAGCTACTGCAATAATTTATTTTTCTTCTTCTGCCATTCAAGGCTAGGCTACAAGCATGTTCCAGCTTCAATCGACCATTTTCAAGGATGTTTACCTTGTAAAAAACAAAAGATAGAGGTTTTCAAATGTCGTATAATTTTGTTATTGCTATAAATGGATTTATAAAGACATCATAAACAAAATACATATAGTAATTTCATCTGAAATACCAAATATTGAAATGTCTAATTCGTTTTTTCCGAATACCATAATCAGTACAGAAGAACCTAAACCTAGTATGAAGAAATAATTACCTGTGGTAAGGAAATTTCCACAATGTTACAGACAAAACAAGTTTCTGAGAAATCTTTCTCAAGCCTTTTTTTTCAGTCCAAGTAACAGTTCAGTCTGTGGAATGATGTACTTTGACATTTGAATAAAGGTACAGTTTTTTTTAAAAAAAAGCTGCAACACAGACTTCACTATGAACTAACCCATCTGTGACCGAAGTGTAGAGCAGTGCAAAGGCAATTTTAGCCATTATTTAAGACTTACACTGATATCCACATTCACAGCAGTTTCTAGTTGAAATCTCTATTAAGTTGCTATTCCTTACCTCTCCTTTTGGTATTCTGTAGTTCTCAATACAGAACCACTTCATGATTATTATAACAGAAATGCTTTCTAAAATATAGCTTAACATTATTAATGTTATGTGAGTCCTATCATTCCAGATTAAATAAAGAGAAAGATGATATTTTCAATAAATTAAGGCTTATACAGATTTGTTTATACATACAGTCTCCAGATAAAATATATGTAAATTTTCATCTTAATTTCATAACTTATTACATGGTGAATAAAATTTGTTATCAGATCCAGCCTATTAATATTGTATACTTGAAAAGAAATCATCTCTTTATCACAGTACTTCTAACTTGTTTGAACAAGTATTTCACAACATATCATATCTTGTTCTTCATGTGCCCCTGCACATTTGCTAGAAATTGTTATTATTTCTTTTCCTATCAAGTGCAATTTGAATCAGACTTTTTCTGCAGAGGTTTATATTCTTCTAAACTGGGCTTTCCATTAATCACTTCAGAAGAAAGGACTTGAAGTTCAACATGAGTTTGTGAAACGGGTGGTAGATCTGGTGCCACAAGTCGTTTTTCTACCAGCTGAAGCCACACCATGGATGCAATCATCATTGCTGTGGTAATTCCAAAAGTCCATATGGTACCATAACGAGTATAGACAAAACTGACAAATACTGGTCCCATGACACGTGACAGACATCCTGCTCCTGTCATTAACCCCATCCACACACCCTGAAATGCAAGAACATCGTGCAGAAAGGACTTGCTGCACTAAGCTGTAATTTGATGAATGTAAGCTGATCATGAACAAATTTGGTGAAGTTGTATTATTTTTTGCTTAAGATGTGAATCAAACAAAGCACCTTTTCCAGGATTAGACTCATGAATACGGTGATGGTTAGCCATTTATTTCCATCAATATAAAACAAAGGTATCCACATGGGTTCTAGAAGGGATAACAAGTCTCCTCTTACATCCACCAGAAAATGTTTCATCTACACACAGCTGACCCAGTAGTGTCCCCAAAAAGGGAGGCTGAAGCCATTTGAGCACCATTACAAATCAACATAGAAGAAACTGTCTCTGGCACCTGCCATTCATAAGTTTTGTATTTTCCTCATATATAATATTTGTAATTAATATAAAGTAACTTCTACAAGACTTCATGATGCAACAACCCAGAAGACAGCCATCTTCATAAACAAGTTCTTTCTGGAAACAAAATAGTTTCCATCATACTTATTCATAATGCAGGTAATTATGTATGTTTCATTCACATGAAATTACTCACCTGAGGCCGTGGTCCAAGGATCTTGGAAAATATTGTCTGGATGAGTGTGACAGCAATTGGATAACCAACAGCTGTAAAGGCATAACCAAGGAGAAACTGAGCTATGGTCATTGCTGGAATGTAGTAACACCACTTTTGAACTGAAGGACAGCCTACAATTTCAGTTTCATTAACAGCGGTGTTTACGTAGCCATATGTTTCATTCAACTGAGCAACTGAAAAAAATTAGAAAGCTAGATACAGGTTAAATAAAATGGCAAACAATGCTTTAAAACAACAAATATTTTCCTTTGATGCTGGAGTCTTGCTCCTTGCTCACAATAGCTTAATGGAGAGACTAGGAGAGTCTTCTGATACAGGCAAAGAAACATTCATATACACAATTCTTACTACCATAACACGTAATCCCTATAAATAATATACACAAGGTAGTGTTGTTGTTTTGGTAAATACCTCCATGCATTAATGCCCTTGGCACAGATGATGGCAAGAGATCAGCTATATGATTTGGTCACTTTACTTTCAGACAAAAGACTTCTATGCCCATTGGATGAGACTGTGTGGAACCCAGAGCTGGTCAGGACAGGATGGCAAATAAAAAATTGACAGTGGAACCATGGTTCCGGAGAATCTGACGTAAATACGTCTTTGTATTTAAATTATATTTAGGCAATAAATACAATGAAAGGAAGTTTATATATTAGCTTTATTCTAAATATTCCCTTTATACATGCTTTACAATTGAGTAAATAGTTTGATTATGACATTGCTTATTTAACTATCCCTCATATATTCAGCATTAGTTTTTGGTATTTTTTTGGGAACTTCAGGTTCATTATTTAATACTTCTATTTTTCAAGTTTTCAGTACTGTCTCATATATTCTGCATTACGGACTCCTTTAGCTTCAATGTTATCCATCTTGTTGGCTCTACATAGTATGACGCAACACACAAACGCAGCAGTAGCGTGAAGTGTGATGTGCATTTATTTGTATAAATAAATGTTTGTAGAACCTAAACCATTTGTAATATGTAAAATCTGAAAACAGATATGGAAAGCTCAAGAGGTAATACGTATTTTGTATGCGATATGTCCCGATCCATCTCTTACGGTTTTCGAGAGGTGGGTGCTTAACGCGCAAGATGCATTGAAAATTGTACAGATTGGCTCATTAAAATTACAATAAATGTATAACCAATTATAAATACAATAAAATACATTACAGATTCTTAAAGGTCCTTATTTACTGATCATTTTACATATAGGTTACATTACCCTTACTCTTACCATTCCTGAGGAATGAACGTTTAAAGGTGACTCGGCGCTGGATCTTACACATCTTCGTTTTTGCTGATTGAGCCTTCCGTATAGACGGATTTACGTCAAAAAAATCCCTGTTCCTGCTGGGAATTAAATTCAAGTTGTCCAACCCACAGCCAGTCACTGTACTAGCAGATATTCCAGGTTATAAATGACATATTTCTCCACACAATGAAACTTTAATCATGCTGCTTATGATAATGATAATACAAAGCATCTGCTGGTAGGTAGCTCTGCCAATAATAGTGATAGTACCAAATTATGCTTGTAAGCTCATACCTCAAAGAAAACACAACACTTCACACAGAGAACACTAAATAATTCTTTCTCACTGTAAGTTTAAAGACTGTTATAAGGAAAGACTGAAATATTTGAACTTCATAACCCCTTTGCCTCCATAGTACACATTGTGAATGTGATACCTGATATTCTCCATCTCTCAGCACATGTGGATGTAGATGCCCCTCCCATTCATATACGAAATCATTTCATTTCAACAAATTAAGTTGCAGGAAATACATACTTCCTTTATAACCTTAATCAGTCCCCAGCTGATTAGACCTTGGAGTAATATGATGGAATTCATTACACATAAAGGCACAGTATTAATCACTCATTCTTAAATGAATATGTTTTAAAATTTATAGCAAGGTTTTAAACTTTGACATCAGAACTATATTCTTGAGAGTGGAGTCCATTTGCACACCTAAGGGTAATTCTGACTGTAATGTTCAAAATATTAGAAGGTTGTGTCACACCTCAGCAACAGAACTGGCTCCATAACATCTACGTAGGGTACTATAGATCTATGTCTTGATCCGAACCAAGAGTTAATTGGTTAGAACTAAGCTATGCTCAGAGGTCAAAATGGCTCTGTACAGAAATTACGCACACCAGCACTGCAAAATTCATGCAGACTTTATTCTTTGTTATCCTTGCATCACATCTTACATGCAGTCCAGCTTTACATGCGCCACACTAGTTGGCAGCACCATAGTACGGGGGTTTAAAATGCCTTTTTCCATATGATAAAGATTAAACTTAGTAACCATTTGTGTAAATAATATTACAGCCTCTTTATCAAAGAAGACTGTTAAGAGATCCAACTAACTAACTAACTAACTAGATGGCTTACCGAACCCGAAGGTTCATCACCGAATTAACCAAAGCCCTCCACCGGACCCTGTCCTGGGCCAACAAAATCCAGTTTCCTTCAACACCTATCTCCCATAGATCCCGCCTGAGATTATCCTCCCATCTACGCCTAGGTCTCCCCAGCGGTCTCTCCCCTTCAGGTTTCCCAACCAGTACCCGGTGCACACCTCTTGTCCCATCCATGCACGCTACATGTCCCGCCCATCTCACTCTTCTCGACTTAATCACCCTCACAAGACTGGGGGAGCAGTACAGATTTTTAAGCTCGTCATTGTGCAGTTTTCTCCACGCCCCATCGTCTTCCCTCTTAGGCCCAAATATCCTCCTCAACACCCGATTCTCAAACACCTGCAATCTGTGTTCCTCCCTCTGAGCGAGAGACCATGCTTCGCACCCATACAAAACAACAGGCAAGATTATTGTTTTGTATACTTTAATTTTCAGGTTCTTAGAAATCAGACGGGAAGACAAAATATTTTGGACTGAGAAGTAGCAAGCATTTCCGGAATTTAGTCTCCTCCTAACTTCCTCACAAGTATCATTTTGATTTGTTATTGTTGTTCCCAAATATTTGAACTTTGTAACCCTTTCAAAGGATTTATTAGCTACCCTAAGATAATTTTGCCCGCCTGTCTGCTGATGACGAGATACTAACATGTACTTAGTTTTTTCTGAATTTACTTCCAGCCCCACTTGTCTACCAGCCTCTAGTAAAACTTCTGCGTTCCTCTTTATTGTATTTATATCGTCCCCCAATAAATTAACATCATCAGCATATGCCAATAGCTGATGTGTCCCGTTCAATTGCAAACCCTCCTGCCTACCTTGGACCTTCCTGATGGCGTATTCTAGCGCAAAGTTAAAGAGCAAGGGAGACAAAGCATCTCCTTGTTTTAGACCGTTCTTGATGAGGAATGTCTCAGATACATATTTACCTACTCGAATTTTGCTGCAGGTTTCATTTAAGCACATTTTTATTAGACCCACTAGCTTCTTTGGTATACCAAATTCAATAAGAATATTATATAGCACTTCTCTCTTCACAGAGTCATAGGCTTTTTTGAAATCTATAAATAACTGATGTACAGTCCCACCGAACTCCCATTTTTTCTCTAGTATCTGACGAATGCAAAAGATCTGATCAATCGTTGATCTGTTTCGTCTGAACCCACACTGATGATCCCCAATAGTTTCATTCGCATATGGGGTTAATCTTGCCAAAAGAATGTTGGATAGAATTTTGTATGAGGTTGATAGCAGCGATATTCCTCGGTAATTACCACACTCAGTCTTGTCCCCCTTCTTATAAATAGGAATAATTATGGATTCCTTCCATTGATGTGGCATCTCTTCCTTATCCCAAATTAACTGAATAAGCTTATGGATCCTCATATGCAACCCTTTGCCACCTGCTTTAATTAATTCGGCCGGAATCTGATCAATTCCTGGAGATTTATAACTTTTCAACTTCCCAATGGCTAGTTCCACTTCATCTAAGCTAGGTTCTGGCACCAACAGTTCAGCTGTATGCATTTTAATCTGTCTAATATCACCAGTATTATGAACATTTAAGAGCTCGCTAAAGAAATTTTTCCACCTATTCACAATTTTTATTGGATCTGCAAGCAAATTGCCACTATCATCCTTTACCAAATTAGTCTGGGGTTGATATCCTTTCTTAAAGTTATTAATGCCTCTGTACAGGTCTCTGATGTTTTTTTCCTTATTATTTGTCTCAAGTTCAGCAATTTTGCCCTTCAGGTATTCCCTTTTCTTAGTCCTAAAGGTTCTACTAGCCTCACGTCTCACGTTACATAGATTATCCGCATTTGTTTTGTTTGGGTTCTGCAACCATTGAAATTTTGTTTGCTTCCTTCGATCTATTAATTTTGAACATTCTTCATCAAACCACGGTTTATTTTGCTTTCTCCTGTAGTATCCTAGTTTCTCTTTTGCTGAAATTTTGATGCAGTTTCTGACATTTTCCCACTCCCTGTTGATGTCCACACTTTCATTATCCTCATTTGTCTCTAAAATTTGAAACCTATTCGAAATTTCAACTTGATATTGTTCCTTTGCCTCTCCCTCACTTAATTTTTTCAAATCAAATCTTTCTGTGTCAAAATTTTGTTTAGTTCGTCTACTTACTGAAAGCCGCTCCCTCACTTTTGCTACCACCAGATAATGATCAGTGTCGCAATCTGCTCCTCTGAATGATCTCACATCAATTACATTTGTCTGCCTTCTCTTATCTACTAAAACATGATCTATTTGATTGTGTGTTCTGCCATCTGGGGAAGTCCAAGTGTATTTATGAACATCACGGTGTGGAAATTTTGTACTTTTTACAATTAAATCTTTTGACGTAGCGAAGGTCACTGCTCTGACGCCATTATCATTACTAAGTGCATGGAGACTCTCGCTGCCTATTGTGGGTTTGAAGACATCCTCCCTCCCAATTTTTGCATTGAAATCTCCTAGCAGAATTTTCATGTGATACTTGCCAAATGTATCAAATACTGATTCCAATTCTTCATAAAAGCTATCCTTGATATCATCGCTTTTGTCTTCAGTTGGGGCATGAACATTAAGGACAATGATGTCGCACCAACGTCCTTCCAAAATTACGTAAGACAACCTGTCACTAACAAATTCTACTCTCTTAACTGCTGCCCTAATTCTGCTATGAACAAAAAAACCCGTCCCTAGCTGATGATTGTCATTCCCCTTTCCATAGAAAAATGTAAAATTGTCCACTGGGATCGGGCCCTCCCCCTCCCATCGCTCTTCCTGCACTGCCACTAAGTCTAACTTATAATTCCCTAATTCCCTACCCACTGATTTCAGTGCCCCAGCCCTATAGAGGCTCCTAATGTTCCAGGTACCAAATCTCATGTCCTTTTTCAATTGCCGTGGTCGTGCCAAAGAGTCCGTCCTGATCCGAGGCTTGGTTGATTTTTTCGTAACACATATTTTTTTTAAAGGTGAAAGGTTGTTAGCCCTACACCCAACCCCCAACCTGGAGGACCAGGGTATCACTCTTAGTCTAGCGCATCTCCTTAGACCTGTCCGGCTTGGGTGACCCTACCATGAGCCGAAGCTCAGGCCGGCATAGCCCTAAGGGTCATTGGAGCACGCAAGCCTCCTCACCCGGCAGATTGCCTTCGACAAGAGATCCAAGGATGATGAAACTAATAAATTTATGGATAAAACTGGTTTACTGACTATATTAATATAGGGACACACCTGCTATTTCTTCTGCAATGATGGGTGGCTCATTTCCCCATGGGATGTACAAAGCTCGCCCAACTACCATAAAGAAGAATCCACCCCACATGAGAACTTTTCTTTCTGGAAATCTGAAACGATAATATCAATCTCACAATAGAATTTATACAAAGAAACAACTATGTGGATTTTTCTGTGTTTCAATTTGAACTATGAAGATTCAATGTAATAAATGGCACCACTTAGGTGTGTGTGTTCTGAAAACAAAACAATGAAAAAGTCTATGTAAACACAGGTCCTTGGACACTTCTTTTTCAAGCTACGGTCTGCAAGATAACCTGATTTAAAACAATTGATTTTTTTAAATTTAAAAGAATTGTGAATGCTATAAAACAGGGTAGAAGACAGATGCTAATCAAATAACGCTAATGAAATATGCAGCATATGTGAAAGAACAACAGAACTTTGAATATTTATTATGATTTCTTATGAAAACAGTAATCTGTAATGTTGGAATCAGCAATTTGTAAATAAACACTTTCCTGTGGCTGGATTTACTCTTAACTTTTATCCTTCCAAAATGAAATGGGCCATAACTGAAATCAAAAGGATCTGAGGACGCAATTTTACACAGAGTTTGATATTTTTCTGCATAGAAGTTACCCCAAACTAAATGAGACTTGTAAGACTTGAGGTTCTCACAGCGGTGAATATGAAGATTTCTGTCTTCTGGGTTATTGCGCTGTGTAGTCTGGTCGATGTTAACCAACGTTTCAGAGGTCATACTGCCTCCGTCATCAGGGCGATGACGGAGGCAGTATGACCTCTGAAACGTTGGTTAACATCGACCAGACTACACAGCGCAATAACCCAGAAGACAGAAATCATCTAAATGAGACTTACTTCTGAATAATAATTTTACAAATAAAAACAAAGTAGGACAAAAGAATTCAGTTTCAAAACAATTTATCTTGTTCTTAGCATTGAAAGTGTTTATTCAAAATAACTTCATAAATCTTGTAACTTTGCAGGAACCCAAAATAAAAATCAGCCTACTTCATGACCATGCATTATAATTCCCAGAGACGTAAATCATGCTTAGCAGGACCAAAAAAATGTGATACCTCCTCAGTCGTAACAATTTTCATAGGTAAATAATAAATAAAATTTGATTGAATTTCGTCAGTTCTCATGCTGTTCCTCTGTAATTTAACACTGCTATTATATGCATGTCTTCTAAAATTTTACAGATTTAAAAAAACCTTTTAAGATATATAAACATCAGTTTATATTCTGTAAACCACTTTCTAGAATTCTGCTTTATTTTCCTCTTTCTCCATTATATATTCTGATCTCTGTTGTCTGGAAGAGTCGCAGTTCCATCCTTGCTACTATTGCAACCTAGTAGGCAGAAATCTACCTTATAAATTTTGTTCTGAGCATCTTACCTCTTGCACAAAGGGCCAATGGCTACAAATGTTATGCAGGCCACCACAGCCCCAACTGACATCAGAATACCCATATAATAAAGTGCTTCAGCTTTTGTCCATGCAAACTGATCCATAGTGAGAGATGTACCCAAACTGCAAAAAATAAAATACATAAAATATAAATTTAAAAAACTTATTGTGCAAAATAAAAATCACATGTGAGAAGGAGCTACAAAATTGAAAAGCAATTATCACAAAAATGGAAACTGGGGTAATTCAGCCAAAATGGTGACTACGCAATGGACTGGATGACTGTGGTTCAGTTCCCAGGAACTTTTACCACCGATTCAAGACTGGCCCTTTCTCTGCACGTTTTTGCCTTTCTCCCAAACAATCACAAATGTTATTTTCTAAAATTTTGGACATACAGAGGTACGATTCATTTATTGACTTTCCATGTTCAAAAACTGAACCATTAACTTCTTTTCTGATACATTTACAGAATGGCAGTAATCCCACCATGTGCTGAACAGACTTGCTGAAATATCTTAAAATTAATTATTTTATCATAACCTACAGGATACATTGACAGCTATAACTCTATATACAGCACAACGGAAGTTTCTTCCATCTATATTAATTTGCTAAAAGTATCAACAACCACATACAAGTTATTACAGAAATATGGTCTCCTTTCATAGGTGCACAAGACAAAAATTCATCAATACATAATTTATGCCTTGAAATGTGATACAGAACAGTTTCTGAAATTATGAAAAAGTTGGTGGTAACATACATTTGTTTGAATGGTATCACTATGAAAGATGTCATGTCTCATTTTTCTTCATTATTTCCTGGCATGTGGTATTAAATACATCAGATACTTGGTTAGCAGTGAATAGATTAAAACATTTAACATTTCAATATATAAGATTTAAATACTTTGTAGTTTTGTAATTTCCTTTAGTCTTACAAATGTTCATACCAAGAACATTCAAAAGACAGTGTACATACTAATTACAAATGAAAAGTACTTACGTTTCAAGGAGTACAAAGTTGAATACCAGAACAAAAAAAGCACATATTAGAGTCCATGAGGAGATGTAATCGGGATGGGCTTGCTTCCAGGTCTCTTCTTCTGTATAACAGGAAGAAGTATGCTAATAATGTCAACTTGTCTCTAAAACTATATTCAGCACACAGGACAAACAATTACAGTCTTTTGGAAAGTAACAATTAGATCTGGCCATTATTTTGAACAAGAACAGAAACATGTCATTTATTTTGAAGTTCACATATTCTGAAAGTCCCTTTTTAATCTTCATCATACTTGAATTAGGGATTTAAACCCCATACTATGTGGCTGTTGGCTGGACATAACTTCAGGGTTACCAGTTTAGCAGTGCACTATTGCAATGAACAACCTGGGCTGTGCATAAGCACAATGCACAGTCGATAAAGGTTAGTGAAATTGTTTCTACAGTATAATTCATATATTTTTATCATTATTAATTTCATGGTTCAGGGTTTTTGTTCAGAAATTTATAGTTCTGCTAATGAAGTGTTGGTTAGTTAGTTACATTATACCAGTGGTCCCCAACACGGTGCCTGCGGGCGCCATGGCGCTGGCCAAGGCTTCTTTTGGGTGCCCGCGTTGTTACGGAAAGAGGTTATACTGAATAATGAAGGCTGTTCAACCATGAACATTATAAAATGAAAGCACAGATCTCGACTTACTGATGCCCATCTTGACGATTGTTTGCGAGCAGCAATCATCCTACACCCCCAAATTTGAAAAACTGGCTGATGAAATGCAGTGCCAAACATCACACTTGAGTAATAATAATTGTACTTATAAAACTACGTATTTTTGATTGCATGGTTTCTTGTATCATTAAACGTCATGTTGTTTTGTGTATTATTTGGTGTCCATATCTTATTTGTCCAGAGAAAAGAAAATTTGGCTTTGTTAATTGGTTGATGCCTGCCACGATCTCATAAACTCTCAAATGTGCCTGTAGGCACAAAAAGGTTGGGGACCACTGCATTATACTATAGACATGTATACAGGCCAATTGAATAATACAGTCATGTACTGTAAAATACTATCACACAGGAGTTCAAAATTCAAATACAGTAACTGTACGTGTACTACCTAAAATAATATCTATGCCTACTTTAAAACAATGTACCTGACTCCATTCCATGATGCAACATTGCTTCCCTGGCTGCTATTCGTCTTTCTTGGAAGAAATAAGGTAAAAACAAAAGACAATTAAAGACACCCAATAGCACGTTAATCCATCCAGCTGCAGTGTACATGTCAAGAGTGACCACTCCAGGAATGAGTGATATACCTTTATCACCCAAAGGAGTGACTACTGCTTGAAGACCTGCAATGATATAAATTTTACACTGGGGTTATTCATGCTATTTAAGTAAGGATTCAATCTAAGTGAAAAAAGAGTGTGTACATCTTTTCATAGTATTTCTTCTAAATTCTTCTTTTTGCAACCATACAGCACTAATGTGCACATCACATAACATTTATACAAATGAGAAGTATAAAATGCTTTAAGTTTTGTCAGAGAATAAAACTATAATTTGGATGTGCAGTTTTAACAGATCTAAACATGAAATTATTATAATGAAACTCTTGAAATGTTTTCTTCATAACAGGAGAATTTGCTGTGTACGCGTGGATTGCCAATGTATTTGGCTCATGAGCTGCAGGTTATGTTTGCAGTGGTGCTTGTGGGATATTTTAACACAATGTTACCACGGTGCAAAATTAAAGGTTCAAAAATGAGATACCACATACTTTCTGGCATTGAGAATTATTTCTTTGTTATTTCTGTCACTGCTTTATAACCTGCACACACAGTTGCAATACATACTGTAAAAAAAATGTACTTAACAAGTCAACAACTTACAATTAGTACAATTCATGTACTGTGCTGAAAAAGTGTTTTGATTTAATAGTGCTATTTAAATGAAGTGACTCATGCACCTATGCAAAAATATCCCAACACCAAGGTTCCTTCAAGTAGATACTTTCATCAAATTGTGCATAAATTTTGTGCAACTGGATCTATCAACAGTCTAGGAAAATTTCCTCATTTTTCATAACAATAAATGCAAGAGTTGGTAATAAAGGTAAAAACAGTTCTGCTTTATGATCTGTCACCCTGAAATAGCAAAGGACCTAAAATATTATATAGTAAAAGCATTTGGAAATTCATACAGATTCTAAATTTGCAGGTTATTTCCTATTAGCATACAATTTATACATCATTTTAATTTATAGACTCATATCTGAAGTAAGAACTCATATTTTTCTTATTCCACATTCTCTAGGGCCCCTAATGGTAATCCATCACCTGCAAACATATATAGAAAACTATTTTGTATTATCTCACCTGGACCAACAACAAATCCAAGCACCTGGGCCAAAGATACCATGGACACAGCAGCAGTTCTTTCCTTAATCTTCGTGGCTGCAGACAAATAGGAACGGCAAACTGCAATGCTTGCTGAAATTAAATACACCACCTGTTCAAAGGGTGAACACATCATTTACTTACAACTCATAAATGTGATCACTAAGTCCATCAAGCAGGGGCCTTCTTGAGAAACTAACAGTCACTCAACTAGTCAAGAAATTACCTACCTTTTACAGATCTGAAAGGTTCTTTACTGTGTTCACAAACTAGAATACTGTCATATTACATTTAAATTGAGTTATATAACCAAGATATCTGATGTTACTGCTAATAGAATACAAAACAATAAATACCAACCTGAGCTTACTCCAACAAAGAACCGAGCTCCAAGCATCCAATATTTTCGATACCATGGAAATATCTCTAGCATGGAGTAGCAGGTACTGGACAAAGTGAACACAGTTAGGGAGAGCATTAGGGGCAGGCGGATAGAGCCCAGGCGATTGCCCCACCAACCAACCAACGGGGAGAAAATCATCTGTCCAAAGGGGTTTGCTCCAACAATATACCCCATGAACTCTTTGCCTGCAGTTGGATCTAACTGAAATATTAATAATTGTGAAGACATTAAACATGATTATACATAACTTCATAAACTAATAATATACAACACATAACACAGAATTCATTCTGAAGATGACTGTCTTCAGACTCACTGCCGTGAAAACCTCAAATTCTACAGATTTCATTCCACTGGAACTATTCTTCTCTATTTCATACTTACGTCTTGTGGAACCAAAATATCAGTGACAATTATTTAAGCATTCTTAACCTCAATTCCTACTAAAAACACATGCTTGTACCTGGGAGATCTCGTTGAACAGACATGACTAATTCCGTAAGGATAGATATTGGGTAGCCACCTTCATGTTTCAGACAGAGGTTAGGTTTCAGAAATAAGAACCACATGGTTCTTCGGAACCCAAACACATACAGAATATGATGCAAGTACTCGGGCGCTTTGTTCATAAGAATGAATGGACGGACAGCTTCATGGTCAGATCACCATTTAAAAAGTGAAGTACTTCTTCCAGAAATAAAGACGATGTTTGAAGACATCAACTAATACTCAGAGCTAAATGCATCACTCATGATTCATCAGAACGGCATCAACAACAAAATTTCGAAATGTAGCACAACGGTACCCCGTTAGTTGTTGCTACAATGGGAACGTCGTAAAACATTGCACTTTCTGTAAAAGTATTTATGTAAACGTTTCAAGTAACTGGACTTTGTAACTCTTATGACATGAATGCCTATATCAGGCGTGTGTGCTCACTAAAGTCACAGAGTTCAGGAAAAAAATGATATCACATCCTATCTTCCTTTGTTCTATTTCAGGACCTTGAACATACGTTCAATGCCATAATAGGGAGCTTGGTTCGATTGCCATAGTTCGTACACGCTGCCACAACAATTTCCGAGTGACGACCACGGAATAAAACTAAATTAAACATGAAAATCTGAGTTCATTAATTCATTTGAGGCTGGACAAGCTTCGAATTTTCGTCATAGATATCAAATGTCGACTTCGGTCTTCTTGGTTGTAACGTCGTGTGGACTTCTAGGCGATACCAACGTTTCGGAGAAGCATGCTCCTCCATCTTAAAGATTTAACTTCATTGTGTTGAGTACTTCAGAGCCCAAGAATACAAATTGTTCTAAAAACCTGTATGCAATTTACTGTAGCAGTTCTGAATCTGAAGCCCGCCGATGCGTTTTATGTGACCAACGTGCATTTTTTTTGTATTGCTGAATCTCCCCGTCTAATGGAATTAGATGTATTGTCGCTGGCACCAACGTTAACCACGCTTCTAAACTGACTGGTAGCAAACATTATCCGAACACAATCTGCTCGTGAATGTAATTTTGATTAGAGCCTACTGTTTGAGGACAGCAGTAACATTTGAATTAAAAATGGCAGCAAATCTCGAACACGCGAGTCCTATTCACAACGAACAGTGATTTGAGAATATTCACGCCCATCAAATTAGCCCACTGCAGCCTCGCTTCAATTGAACACTCCCTTGAAACAGCGGAAATGTTGCTCACCTTGTCCAAGTACGGCCAAACTCCGGTCAGAATAATGCTAAAGCCAAGGGACATGAGAAACATTGTGAAGTAGATTATTCGTATAGAGTTCCACCTTGCCCTTCTTTCTTGTGGTGTCTCCAAATCGTCTGGTTCTTCATGTATATTGCGTCTGAAAAATAAACGTAAAATAAGAGATTTAGATATGTGAATCATGTATTTTGTTTTGGGTTCTGTTACGTCAAAGAATTATAAAGTAGGATCTGAGGTTCTTACGGGGGTTAGTACGATGGTCGTCCTCCAGGTTCTAGCGCCCTGCAGTCTGGTATATGGAGACAGCAAGTACCTCTGAAACGTCGGAAAATTTCTACTAGACTACACGGCATTACAACCCAGAAGACAGCCACCTTCATCAATGAATTTCTTCACCAACCAAGTGATTATCAGCTTCTCAAGAACTCTTGTTCCATGGAGTTGGTTGGATATTATTTATTATTCGTAGTCAGTTTATGCTGATATTCTGAAGGAGGCAGGAATTCTCAAAATACATAAGTTTGTTCAAATATGTACACACGCGACTGAAGTGCAACAAATCTCTGAAAAAGTGGGCTCAAATCTAGCCAGGACCATGAACAATTCTGTGCTGCATTTTACGTTTCATTTTCATGACGGCAATAAAAGTTCCGTTATAACGAATTAGTAGGTGGATTTGTCCACACTTATGCCACGGCGCATGTTAGCGACTTCGTTTCCGGAAGGTATCTCGGGCGAATTATCTGATACCAGTTCAATTAAGTCTCCAAATAGGCTATCGCCTAAGCTTTTAGCCTCCTTATCACGTAAGTTCGGATTGATCTGACTTACATCATAGTTATCTGGCCCAAGTTATATTTTCTCCGTCTCATGAAGAAACGCTTGTTCCAGTAAGAGTCGGGCCCCATTTTGTCCTTCATATATTTTAAAACGCGCTATTCATTTACTGTGCCCGGAAAAATCCAGGTAACTCAATCATCTTCCAGCACTGGAGTGGTGAATTTTAGGGTTCCAAATAATTAGATATTAGAGGCTTTATTATTAATAGTTTGGCATGATAATAAGAAGTAAGCATAAAATTTCTGCACGTCAAGTTACTATATAATCCAAAAGTTATCTCCATTAAACCAAAATACTTCACCGTGGCACCGTATCATTAATTTATATTTTTTAACAAAATCATCTCTTATAAAACTTGCATACTTTTTTCGAGCACCAATCACTGTACAAAACTTGTAACACACAGAATGATGCAAATCTTCCAACTATGCTGGCAACGAGAACAACCAGTAACACGTAACTAAAGCCGAGAGACATTCTGTTGTAGGTTCTCTCTTCATACAGGTTTTCAGAAAATCTATCTAGTAGTTAACATATTAATGGGCGATCCATGCGTGAATATGGAAACAGCAACCATCCCTCGACTTACGAACATAATTCGTAGGATATAAACTGTTCATAAGGTGAAAATACGTTAATCGAAATTCTCATTGGTTTCAATGTGAAACATTCTGACTGGTTCCCGACTCCTCGTAGAATCGCCCAATATTTTTCTCCATATTATTAGAATTATATATTATCATAAAAATAATAACAATGTTATCTTTATAATGGTTATTACACATTTAACCCTGTAAACCGCTACTGACGTGTTACATTAAACATTTACATTGTACAGCAGTTATCGTATAAACATATTAAACGTATTCCTCCGCGTTCGTTACTTATGAAGCGGACTCAACGGCTCATGGTTCTTCGTTGTAGTGAAAATAATGTTCGTAAATTTGAACACAAAACATTCGGACCCGATTAATCAAGGTGCGTCCTTGGCTCAGATCATGGCAGTTGCACATTTCGGCGCCACGGGAAACGAAACTGCTTATGAATGCACTGATTTTAATTTCTTGTGAAAAAAAAAGAGCAAGCTGCCCTGCCGTTATAACATCGCGGAATTGGTGTTGTTGATCCCACGGATGGTAACCAGACCTGCAGCTGCTCCATCGTTTTAAAGTGCCTGACCCTGACCCTTCCTTTAGTACCCTGGTAGTCACTTACTCATATATGACTACAACGATTTTTGAACTACTAGCATCTACAGTTCGGCACTTCAGTTAAGAACAATTGAATTAGCAGTGGGGTTGGGTCATATTGTACATGCAAAAAAGCAGCCTGGCTGTCCTCTGTATAACCAGGATATCTCAGCTTGTAACTAGTATTTATCTGTGGCCTGTTGAGTGACATATGACCGGGTTACAAAAATTCGTCCTTGCCACCACAACCAGATAGTAGATACGGTAAATGAAGTTATACGGACCTCATTTGTAAACCATACAACTGACCACAGCCAGAACACTGCCAGTACCGCAATATATCTATCGTAATTATCAATCATAATATTTCAGTACTACCGTTAAACATTCCTCGTAACCAATATGCCATCAGTCGCTGCCGATCTGAATTCCGTAATTTGAAAGAAGTATTAAAATTCGCCTGTGTCTATTTTAATCATGCAAACTAATAAAATATCTGAAAATCACAAAAACAATACGCGAATCGCACAAAACACATTGGTGGGCCGCGTGCGACTCATGGACCGTGAGTTGATAACTCCTGCCTTACGACCATTGCACGTCCTAAACAATAGTAGAAATGGGCCTATGTTTTTAATCGGAAACAGGCCTAGATTATTTTAGATCTATTCTTTGACATTTAGTTCACTTTGGTCTTCATATTTATTAATCGCTCATACAAATGTGGCATGAGATTTCACAGATACATTTTTTATGTGTTGTTAAGTGTAAGTACACTATATGTCTGAAATAAAAGTTGTAGGTTTTAATGAGATCTCTATGTACTACTTTTTTTTTTGTAGAATGAGCAGACGTTAAACAAAACATTTATACATCTCAAATTGAGCTTCGTGTAAAGTAAGGGTAATGTTGAATCGATACCGAAGTCAAATTTCCCCCCGATAAATTTTAGTGTACGTCACTAATACCACATTTCACCACAATTATTTCAGCAGTTTCATAGATGTTTGGCTTTTTTACGAATGAACAGATATATCTAGTGTGAGCGTTCATTTATGTTCTTGTATGATCTCCAACAACAAATCTGTTATACGTAGTGATTTACTTACGTAATACTAATGTTCAGCCATCATTCAAAATCTGAGACCAATTTGTCCTGCGTTCTGCACGATTTAACAACTTAAGGTTCTCCCGGACCTGTCATCGTTTCATTGAAACCTCAGCAACCAACTCTTGGTCCCTAACACACTTTCTTATAGGTTATCAATGTATTACTACTCATGGTGACTACAATTCGGAGACCCCGTCTCCAAAATTTTCTGTCTCTGTGACGCCACTATCCGAGACGTAGTAACCTTTTGTTTTCATTTGAGTTAAAAAGACACGAAAATCAGCATTAAACAGAGCACTGGTGTCATTCTAATATCACGGAAACATATATATATATATATATATAGAATGCCTGATAACAAACCCAAAATAAGTACTACATAATCTCTTCTGTAACCGTCACCAAGTTCCATGCTTCAAAGTCACGGAAGGACTTCGCCCTCCCTTCACAGCGCAGCTCCAAATCACCAGTACAGCGTTGCTAGCTTTCATTATTCGTATACATTCCACAGTTTATATATTGAATGTTGCCCGCATACAGACCAAATTTTGCTGGCTTTGCCCCCACAACAAAAAATGTTGGGCAGGCCTGTTCTAAACTGTCTTCGACCGCCTGGGTTACGCTATTCGCGATGCAACTTTGTAAGAATTGTTTTTACCTTGAAACAAACAATTTAGTAACGGGTACTGCAAAACCAAATAAGCGTAAGCCGTGATTTCTGTTTTTGTCAAATGCATCGACAAGTGGAAACCTTCTGACTAATCCAAATAATCCCATTATTTTACAAACGCAAAGCTTAGCTACTCCGTGCTGTTCTCAAAATGTGGAACAATATTCCACATCGCAGCCTGTATTTCATTACGGAAACACATGGTTCGAATCCTGAGGTCGTCTGACTATAGACGGAGGCGATAAGTTTCTCCGAAATGCTGTGTCCGTCTCCACACAGCAGATAATAAATAAATGCATGCACTCAATTATTATATATCTTTACGCCAATGTTTATAGGCGACAGGTTTATAATTTAATTTGTCCATCTTCGGGCCTCTAGACATCCTCACAAAGTGTTTTACAAGAACAATAGACACATTGGTTTAAATAAATTTCAAATTTTAAATTTGAACCCTAGATGGTGGCCGGTTGTTGTGAATTACGATGGCTGGGCGGTAGCGACGTAATTTGAGGAATATTTTGTCAGATGGCTATTATTCACTGACAGACAGGAGGTTTTATTAACGACGTATGATGCAATTGATACAAAACCGGCAGACTGAAGTCAGACCGGCGCGGATTATATCCAGACAAAAACGCCTTTACACATCTCTCGCAAGCTTACAGTACATTGTATCAAAGTAAAAAAAGGAAATTAACGCTGTCATACAGACCATGTGATTTCACAATGTTTGGTTTGGTTTGGGGAAGAGAACGTTGCTCAAGGGTCTGCTGAATATAACAGGATGGGCATTACTTTAGTAATTGGAAAAGAGCTGACATCTTGCTTGCCCTCTAAGGGTCAGTGACGGCATGACTCAAAATAAACTACAGCCGAGTATATCACGCCTTCACGACAATAAAACTGCATTTACTGTTCTTGTATTGTGTGAAGAGTAACTATTTTAGTATATTTAGTTTTAAATAAGGTTTCGGCTAAAAATTAAAATACACCACGTTCCAGGTTGAGGTTTAATATGCGTTCAATATATGTATAGAATCAGCACATGCGATCACTCACTATTCGTAGTTCGCTGTTACTAGCGGCACTGAAACTGAATCATGAACAGGGAAGTATGTGGAAAGACGCAGACGTGGATTAATTTAATATACTATCTTCATGTTTGTTTGGAAAGACTAAGAAAACCCACGAAATATCTCAATCAAATTAGCCGGACTCCAGGATTAAATTTGAACCTGGTATCTTCCTGATAAGAACCACTTGAAACAACTTTTACTGTTTTAGAGGAACTTAGAAACTACATTGTTATCAGTATAATTAACAAT